ACTTCTGGGTATTTGCACAAAGATACTGAAAGCAGGGACTTGAAGAGATCTTTGCACACGCGTGTTCATAGCAGCACTATTCACAACAGCCAGGCAGCGGAGGCAGCCCGAGTGTCTGTCAACAGACACGAAGCGTGTGCACACGCACACACGGAGTGTCATGCAGCCTTAGACAGGAAGGAGCTGCTGACACATGCTACCACGTGGAAGGACCTTGAGGACATTTTGCTAAGTGAAATAAACCAGACACGAAGGACAAATACCGTGTGATTCCACTTACATGAAATAATCAGAGCAGTCAAATTCACAGAAACAGAAAGTTGAGTGGCAGTTGCCAGGGGCTGGGGTGGGGGGTGGAAGTAGTTGTTTCTGGGTGCAGAGTTTCAGATTTCCAAGATGAAAACAGTTCTGGAGACGGATGGTTGGTAATGCATGCACTTAACGCCACTGAATCCTGCACTTAGAAACGGTTAAGAGGGTGAATTGTGTCTGTTGGTGTGTATTTTACCACAATTAAAAAAAAAAAATCAGGTGTTGCCAGCAAAAGAGGTGTGTGAATGGTGGTATGGTGTTGTTGGTGATAGCTAGCCTCTTTGTTGGTCATGGCGGATACATCGTCCTGTATATGTTGTCCAAATCAAGACGGGACAATGCCACCGAGTGTATGTTCTGTAGTGGACTTGTGTGTGGGTGGTTGATATGTTTGAAAATGCCCCACTCTGGGGGGGCGTGGATGCAGGGAATGTCCTTTGACTGGGGTTGTGTGTTGGTGTGTGGTGGTGTGTTGTGGGGTGTGGTTGTAACGTCTCTTGCATTCCGATGAGTGTTGTTTGATGGATACATGAATGTGCGCCTCAAGAGTGACTGTGTGTAATCTATCGCCTAAGCCGGTATGTGGCACGGTGGCTCATGCCTGTAATCCTAGCACTCTCGGGAGGGCGGAGGAGGCGGATTGCTCGATCAGGAGTTCGAACCAGCCTGAGCAAGAGCGAGACCCCGTCCTCTACTGTAAATAGAAAGAAGATTAAATGGCAACTAAATACACAGGAAAAAAATTAGCGGGCCATGGGGGTATGTGGTATGCCTGTATGTCTTCATGCTAACTTTCGGCAATAAAAAGAGGCTGACGGCAGGGTGAGGTATTCACACAAGGGGGAGGTGAGACGCCGCCCCTTCCCCGGACGGCACCCTCCGCCCCCCCTGGGCCCCCCCCACTGGCCCCTCCCCACTGGCCCTCCCCAGCCTGGCCCCTCCGCCGCACTGGCCTCCCCCCCACTGGCCCCTCCCCAGACTGCCCCTCCCCACGCATCCTCCCCACGCCGCCCCTCCCCACGCACCCCCTCGCGCTCCTGCCCCACTGGCCCCTCCCCACTGCCCCTCCCCACTGGGCCCTCCCCCACACTCCTCCCCCACCGGGCACCCCTCCCCACCGCCCCTCCCCACCGGCCCCTCCCCACGCGCCCCTTCCCCACGCGCCCTCCCCACGGCACCCTCCCCACGTCGCCCTCCCCCATGGCGCCCCCTCCCCAGGCACCCCCTCCACTCGCCCCTCCCCATGGCACCCCTCCCCACTCGCCGCCTCCCCCACGTGCCCCTCCCCCGCGCCCCTCCCACGGTGCCCCCCCCACCATCATCTGTCTGTGCTCAGCACTGGACACAGGCCATCACCAGCTTTTTTTTTTTTTTTGAGACAGAAGGTTCTCGCTCTGGGTTGCCCAGGCTAGGAGTGAGTGCCGTGGTGTCAGCCTAGCTCACAGACAACCTCAATCTCCTGCGGCTCAATGCGATCCTCCTGCCTCAGCTCCGCGAGTAGCTAGGGCTCACAGGCATGTTGCCACCCATGCCGCCGGTAATTTTTTTCTGTGATATTTTTAGTGTGGCCACTTAATTCATTCGTCTATCTTTATATTGAGAGACGGGGTCTCACTCTGCTTCAGGCTGGGGGTCTCGAAAGCTGACCTCGATGCAGAGCCGCCGTGCTCGGCCTCCCAGAGAGCTGTAGGATTCACCAGGGCATGAGCCACATGGCCGGCCCGATCCACCAGCTTTGCATAGTTTTTACGAGATGCGGGTGCTCCACTCTTGGGCTGCACGCCCCCCCCCCCCCCCCCCCCCCCTCATTCTACTGTTTGTTTTAAATGAATAATCGTTATGCTTTTCAGTTTTAGATTCACAGCACGATTCTGCGGAATGCACAGAGCGTTCCCAGACACCACCCAGCCCCCGCCTCCCTCCCCCCACGTACAGCCTTCCTGCTACCAACGCCCCCCACCAGAGTGGGGCATTTGTCACAACTGGTGGATCTACACTGACGCGTCATTGTCACCCAAAGTCCCTCGTTTACAATAGGGTTCACTGCTTGGGCATTGTGCCAAGTCTTAGTGTGGGGTTTGGACAAAGCATATAAGACGGTAAGCGCGCTCCATGACCGCTGTATCAACAGAG